ATATCACACGAATTAGTAAATATCAATGTCATTTATTGTACACAGTTTTACAAATGTACACAACAGGTCTCTAAAAAACCTGCACTTTTTTCTAATCAACTTTCGACACGCCAATTATTTTTCAGTAAGCACTCCTATTGACTGACGTGCGCTGTAAGGTACATTCCCAGTTTTTTTGTCTTTCACGGATTCAGAAGTGTCGAATAACCTATATCAGCAACTTGCGCCGTTACAGAGCATGCGTACTGAATTACTTCATATATGTGTGAACGTAAATTCTAACATATTCCTTTATTGTCTTTACTGTATTGTTGTCATCCAGTGCAGAAAACAGATAGAAATTCGAAATCACCACAGAACTGACTTGGTGTTCCAACAGTCTTTTCACTGTGCCTATCGTCCATGCTTTAATGGCATAACACTTTAGTTTAAGGAAATGCCGTTGTTTCGGTATGCTAAACAGCTCGCATTCTTCGTGTACACATTTTTCCCTGTGCATCTAAACAGCCAATTAATTTAGTCATTCTAAGAGATCTGTTCTTACCGATTTCAGATTTCGAGTACATCAAGGAGATACCTAAGCTCAAAGGTTCCGTCGAAATCGGTGATTCTTTGAGTATTATCGGCAAAGAATGGCTTTCTATTTCCTTTTCTGTAACGGTTTTCAAACTTTTGTCAGCCAACGATGCTAGCTGAGATTTCCGGTTGGGTAGTCGCCTCAGCAGCGACCTGGTACTGCGGCCGGTTGTACTAAAGGGATTTCTTTCTTTGAGTACCTTTGGTGATCTGGCGACAGCCGTTGATGACGGGAGAGAATCATCAACCTAACATAAAGCATGAACAATTAGAAAGAAAAAGTTTTCTGTTTACTGTTACAAACTGAAACGATCATGCTAATGATCTTCGTTCAAAAGAAGATATGTAGGGATTCGTCGAGGCACACGTAAGACGAATCCCCACATAGAATCGCATGTCCGTTGTGCCGTGATACATACCGCAACATTGTTACAGTTTACACGCACGCTATCATAGTCATTTTCTCAACTGACACCCGCGAAGAAAATTATCACATGGAAACAATATTCACTTGACAGTATATATATATATATACCGCTAAAGAGCATAGCAAATCGACGACTGAGAACTGGTGTGATCCTCTATGAACGCGTTAGCTACTCTAACGAGTCGCAGTAAGATGGCTGACTGATCTCAATAAATTTGTTGCTAGTATCATCCAAAGATAGGCCATCGTCACCAGCATAGCGAAGTCCATTTGTAAAGTACACAGCCGGCATTCAGAGACACAAGTATACATGGGACTAAGGTTGTTTTTAAAGTGTGGCTTTCGTAAAATCAAATAAAGCACATCATTTCGTTTTCCTTTTTTTTCGTAAGCACGTCGTTTGTTAAAGTGGCCAGTTTAGTCCTGTTTAGCAAAATTCAGCTGTATAGCAGCAGTGAGGTTTTTCAGACCAGTAGTATAACAACATGAAATCCAGTAAAGAAACAGCCCTGTGTACTAATAGTTTGGTTATGACCTTTGCATAGGGAATCCGATGACTCTGGTCTAGTTGAAGCGAACCTAAAGCATGAAAGATTAAGTGATTCATGTCGGTGTCACTCACGAATGAACTGCGTAGTGCGTTTCACACAAAGTCCCATAACAAGGTGGGCAAAATAGGTAGATGTCATCGACCAAAAAAAGCAGAAAAACCAGTTTCCTATCACCAGCGAAAATTCACACGTAGATACTCAATCCCGTGTCCTCAAAATGGGTGTTATAGTTTCGATCTTTTCTATTGGCCGGTTCACCTCTTTCACAGAGCCCTTACAGAGAGCTTATTGCATCAAGCCTCATGTCTACGTAAACAAATTCTTTCTACAAACATAAGAGAAATCGTTATAACTAACAGACAAACGACATGGTTTCTTTTCACAAAGTGTTTCTAAAGTACATGTTTGACAGCTACGAATTATTTCAAACTCAATTTATTAATTTCTATTTTTAACCAGCGTAAATCATTTTGTCAAAAATAGATAATAACAATACTAAGTCGACGATAAGGCGCGGCGCGTTCTGTGTACGCGGACGAACAAGGATATATATATCCCAACGGTAATCTATCACCGATAGCTAACTATAATACGTACCTTGTGTTTAGTTTTAGGTACCTTTATAAGGTGCATAAAGCCTGTAACGAACAAGATAACAGAAGTAGGTCAACTCCAAGGCTAAATCGTAGTGGCCAATAATGCAAGAGCTGCATTTGTATCTGCTTTTTTAGTGAAAGAAAAAAGATGACTCGTCCCGCAACTGGTCACATTACGAAACGTGTGCTGCATGTCTTGTTAAAAAAAGAGCATTACAACTGAAAGTAAGTAATACAGCGTACAACAAAAATCGAAAAATGACTCATTTTCAATACATTGACTCGACCAATGAATAAGCACAGCCTATTATTACTTGAACCTAATATGGTCTTCTTATTGAAGAAATGCTTTATTAATTACGCTGCTGCGTTTAGCAGCCTGATGCTTAACGCATTCCATCGGCAAGGATGACTTCCTAAGTTCAGTTTCTAGGGTGGACTTGCCGAGAAAATATTCTCGCTTGCTACTTATCAACTTTGACCATCTTTACTCCGCTAAAAAAAAGTTTTCTGTTGTAAAATACCACGTGATAGCTGACGCGTGTTCTATTTGCCTTTTGGAATAGGCCTAGCCTATGCAGTTCGTTTTAAACTCTTTCTAATGTTTAAGGTATTGGCAATATATGCACGCACCTGCCACATTCGTGTGAAGCGTGAACGGTGTCGGTGCGCCCTATCGACGCACGATAGTCTATAGTGTGAACGATTAACTTCAGAACAAAGAGGGTCACAATAACGTATTGAAGGATAATTTCATGCTAGACAGCGATAACTACCCAATCCCAGTACTATTAAATCATTGCGATTCTATATTTCTATTCTGTATCTAATGCTCATTAATGCAGATATACACTTGTTGCGTAATATATGTGCGTACGTTTTTTCTCTTTCATGCACCGTGCAATGTAAATCAGCTGATTGACGGTATACTTCTCGATGAGAACCGTCCCGCTGTTCGAGAAATCCAATTCCATTGTATCCATACTTGTAACGACTGGTACGAACCCGAAAGTCCGTTTTATTTGTCGTTTATCATCACAATATCGCCGCAATGAGGCGAAAAACCTGAGTCTACCCTGCAATAGCAAACGCATACACATAACCCAACAATAGCATTATTATTATCTGTTTAGCTATATGCCAATAATGTCATATGAGGAAAAGAGTAGAGTTTCAATAACTTTAGGAACGTACTCGATTTGACCATTTACAGCCGTTTGAGGAGTTCTCGTTTTCCCATGCAGTTCAACATCTTGTAGAAGGAGAAGAAGTTCTAAGTTCCTATCAGCTTTACGACAGAGAGTCACGTCACGTAATGGGTACAATTCGTTCCTATTCCCTAGCCTTTCGAGGTCCCATCGTCAAAGCAGAATGAAGCCCACAATCCATACAGAAAGTGGTATAATTCAAATCGTTCCGATGTGCCATGCTTAAACAAAGGGAACATTTCTAACAGAACCTCAGACTACGCACTGTGAACTTAGCTACACTGCGGCAGGCAAGATAACGCCAGATCATCGGCCGCAAAGCTTACTGGTATGCGCGACTCGCAAACTCATTTACCCACAGTTTTCCCTGCTAAACAAACAATTTTCGGCACACATTATCGCAGTCCGAAATATAAAAGCGTGCACCTCGATCACTAACGACCTTCCGGGAGTACTTTAAAAACGTTTTACATTGGGTAAAAACCAACAATCGCAATAAATAGCATGCCAATATTAACTCGTATCACCTTCAGTTCACTCCATCAGAATCCATATTTGATTTATGTATGAGAATTTCATCCGTATGAGTTTTTGAAGCCAGCCTGCACAAAATTACCTAAAATGCCACGCCTGCCTACTTTATCCAACGCCTTTGCATCGCTGAAGGTTAATACGAGCATTCAACTCTGCATTTCCACACCCTCGAGAGCAAATACGCCTCTGTGTGGGATATCGGCTATGAGATACATCTCGCAAAACATAGAAACGCGCAAAATAGCTGAAATTATTCGCGCGCACATCTTTCTCTCTCTCTCTCTCTCTCTCTCACTTTCTCGCTCTCGAATTTTCCTACAAATTTCTGTGTACATAAAGCTCATCTATGGAACTGGCCCGCAGAGACTTACCAAGGCACTTCCACGCAACAGTATATAAGCATTTCCCTTATCATCAATGCGGCCATGCGGCCATAAAGGCCACTGCAACAGTCAGCTTCGCGGTCTTAACGCCGCACACAGAACTTCAGCCCAGTACTGATTCACAACGACGTCACCCTGTCCTGTGATCTGACCAGCGTGAGGCGACCACTACTATACGGACCGCTTTTTCAATGTCGTTGTTAGTTGTATTTCTCGTCGAGATCTAGTTGTTTCCGATATAATTCATTATAAAGGAATATATAAGTTGCGTATTCCGATTACGCAATTTGCAGTAATTAGCATAGCCATCATCATCATCGTCATCGGCAACATAAGCATCGTCGCCGTCATCATCACCGCAATAATAAACAAGCAGTGAGGACTAGACGGCTTAGGTCAACTTTCAACAGCGCTCGGCCAGACACACTCATACAAATCTTTCTCGATTCGATTGTGGGTTTGCCTATGCTTTGGCTGAGTCCATTGCCGCCTCCTGAATCGACGCTGCCGTTGTCGCTGCTACTGCCGCTAACAGCATTGTGATCCAAAATGGCGGAGTGATACAACACTGCTTTTCAGGGGCAGGAAATGTGACACGTTGTCAGTTCAGTTTCCCGAGGGGTTGTTTGGCACAGGACGATGGTCAAGAGTGGTCTGGGGTAAAAACAACTTGCCTGTTATCTTCACCGCCGCCGACGCGTGCAACGACCTAGACCGATGGACATACGCACCAGATCCTCGGCATGAATGTCTGTCTGCTGTATAGAAATAGTGATAATAGACCAATAGGGTGTTTGCGTAGAGAAATGAAAAAAAAACTGCGTTTCTGTCCAAATGGGCGCGCATTTTTACGGGTAGCGCGCATCATGTGATGGGAGCAACCTATTCGTGGAAGCTATGTTACGGTTAATATCTGGGGCCATGAAACTCTTTCATGTAAATGACTTAATGATATTAAATTTTTATGCACGAAACTTACCCTGCAAGTTTTCTGCTAGTTGCTCCCATGTGGGGCTCGCAACGCTTAGGTTAATGAAAACACAATGTTAATACAAATGCGTCAGTTAAACAACGAATCAGCGGATACTGATCCGACAACAATTGCGTTAGCGAATTGATGCATTAAACCGTTCGACACTTTAGGCAAGGCGATATTTAACACATCAACATTTATATTTTGACTAAAATTACTACAGCGGGTTAAACTTCGGCTGTAATGCAGTGGTCAGGCAAAAAAAGGAGAAGTTAGGTATACAACAGTATCTTTTATTGCATTGTACGAGATTTATGGCCATATAGAGCAAGGCCGACGATTGGAAAGAAAATGCACAGCATGTAACTAAAAATTTATGAGCTTAGACATTCCACACGTGCTTATAAGCATCTATGTACGTATCCATAAACAATTATATAAAACTTAGTGCAAAAGAACTGATTAATGCCATGTTTTGTATCATGGCTTTAACTAACTTAAAAAATATAAAGTATGAAAAATCAAGAGAAAACGTACGGTGATTTTGCAAGGAACTCCAAAGATAGCACTGAAATACTATATACGGGTTGATAAGCGTAGAGCGGTAATTTCCTTAAATTTCTTCCGCTCCTGATGCATACAACAAGACACTTCAATAGTAAAACTCTCATTTATACTGTGTTCGTTCAAAAGTGTTTCAGTTTTATGTTATCTGCTGCATCAGGCTGTATTGTAAAGTGGTGAAGGCCTAAAAAGACCTATAACCTACTTCTAAAAAAGCGAATTTCTAATTAAGAAAAAAGGTGCCAAAAAGATATCAAAATTAACTGTTCCTTTTCTCTTGTTCCACGTGTGGTTTCGGTAACAGGACCGTTCTTTATTATAATAAAACCCTATCCTGTTATTTGCACCCTCTGCCAATTGTCGCGGTAGGCAATTGACAGAGGATTCATGTCTTTCACTTACTGGCACACAGGTCACTGTTCCGATGTCAGATTGTTTTACTATAGAATAACAAGGACGAGCATACTGATCAAATCAATCACCGGCCGTTTCCTTGGTAAGACGAATGACTAACTCACAGACAAATAGTTAGTTTACTGGAAAAGTCAGTGGGCGTCTTTCTGAATGGATGCATTTTTGGCCTTCCTCGGTGTGGCAGATCACGAGAAATGTCAATAAAAAACACTTCGATACGTTAATGCAGTGTAATGCTTTCTAGGGACACAGCTTGAAACATCAGACAGAACATACGAACGTGCAGTTCAGGTCAATGGCGAGTTCCTTGATCGATGTCACGAACAAAAGATAGGGGCCAAGGCGACAGCAAGCGTTGCTGCTATGAGAAACATCAACACGGCGGTGGTGCGACAACATGGTGATGCGAATTAGATTTGCTAAGTGATAGGCCTCTTCGAGAGAGGACGAAGACATCCCCCTGTAGCGCGATATGGAACACTGTCTTGTCTGCATTTGGAGGCACAAAAGTAGCTGGCAAATCTACTATCAGATTAATAGAGAACCTGTTGATACTAGAAGAATAGGCGGATGCGCTTCCTTACATCACTTCAAGAATTACACCTAAACCTAGAAAAAATATACCTAAACGAGAGAAGCAATTCCATAGCTCGGATGCTGAATAAATCACAGCAAACCACTCAGTTTTTTTATTGATGGCAGCGCTAAAATCGGGGCAAGCTAAAGTAGAAGCTTTCCATATCTTCGCTCAGAAAACGTGCCTCATGAAGACCGGGTGGGGCTATCGTACGCCTTTAAGACTTACGTTTTTTGCAAAATGTCAGGGAAATACCAGAGCAACCATTTTTTCAGTCATGTTACTTCGGCCGTTCTTTGCCGGGATCTCGAGATGCTAAACTGGAGCAGGCCTACTAAACTCGAAGGTAGGCAATAGGCGTAATTCAGCGAAGAAGACTCATTCGGTGAACGTGCAGTTAAACGCTAGTGAACAATCTGCTACAAAGCAGGCCTATTCACACGCACCTTTTAATCTGATTGAAGCGGAACGACCGGCCAAAGTCCGGTTTTGATCGACATAGATTAACTCTGCAGTTCGTACTGTTTCTCGTTCGTCATAAATATTCAATTCAATTGAATTAAAAGCTTTATTTTCTTTTTCGTTCGCAAACTCATACTCATTTTCAATGCCGTAAAAGATCAATGTAAAGTAACCCAAGAAATTCACGCCAGGAGAGGTTCGTTCAGTGCGAAGAGATTGATTAATAGTCAACTTTTATTAAAATTTCGATGATGCCCCCCGTTCTTATTGTGACTGCAGGTCTGCTTATGTTCTCCTTGCAACGAATTTGCATTCAGTGATATTTTAGTATCGAATAAACGCATTTGTAACAACTGCAGCGAACTGGGCAAAAAAGCCCGGATTTTGATACAGACGTACATCGTGTGTATATATACTGGTTGAACTAAATTGACATCAGTATACATACACACAATGTACGTCTGTATCAAAGGAATGCAGGCTATATAAAAAATGACTAAGTAGAAAAAATAAGAGTATATAAACACACACGAAATGTATTAGAAATAGAAGCTGAGATTCAAACTAAGACCAATACACAAAAGCTTTTGCATGGAAATAACGATCTGCACGCGTATCGAATCACATAACGCCAGGCGTGCGCTCGATTCTCGCTAGACGAAACGGAAGTATAGGTATAATGAGGGACGGTAGTGGAAATATCCAAGCAAATTAACTGGAAATACAAAGCAACCTTAGCGCTTTTTCCACGTTCTGTCTAAGCAGAAACGGATTGGTGTTTTTATAACGAAATGTGCACATGTACAACGAGGTCGAACTGTATTACATAGTTATTCATTCTTTACATACAATACAATCAACTATAGCTTCATTCAGATGTTTAGCTTCCAGTACGGACTGTAATTAGTATACAAACATAGGAGGCACGCGTGAAAAGATAGTAACGCATTTGCATCTTCATCTTAGGAACGCGTTGCGGACCAGGTCTGAACCCCGGTATAGATATACGGTTCGTTTCGTGCTGGGAGCCAGCCAGCTTTCTAATAAAATGCCAAACGGCGATGCTGGACGTAAAGGTCGGAATGTAGATGTATAAAAGAAGTGTATAAAATCACACAGAATACCTACTTACGTTCAGAGGCATATCAGATGTTAGTGGAATGGCAAAAACTCCTGCGAAGAACCTAGGAGAACAAGAGAGAACGAAGAACGTTCTTTACCGTATTTCTCCTCAACGAGTTGGGTAGTCCTATTGAAACTCGTATCCTGCCATCTGAACGCGTCAATGTGCGACTGCATACAACGCATCTGGTCGGTCGACCCTTCACTGCGATGTGAATGAATGTATTGTTTCAGCCGTCTAAGCTGCGCCTAATCGGATTTAGTTTACTACGGATTTATTGAGCATTCCTTAAAAAATCGGCTTTGTCCTTTTGTTACTTCATTAACGTTATATACATAGCAACCTGGTAATCTAACGAGTAAAGTAAGCATGCTTTTATTTAAAATGAAAAAAAAACTCCTGCGTTTTTAATCGCTATAATGTAGCGCCACTATAGGATACGCCGCCAAAGGCATGGACTCGATATACTCACTTCTGATCGAGCCTTTTCTATGTCTTGCCATCGTTTGTGATGTGTTGTGCTACTGATCCGAAAGATCGTTTACACGATTCAAGATCGATACAATTTGTTGCACGATAGCTTGAGAGTAACGCATTTGCCTGCTAACGTTGAGGACATGTTGTGGTTTAAGTTTGGACG